TGTCTCTCTCCCCTCTCTCTCTCTGTCCTCTCCCTCTCTCTCTCTCTCTCTCTCTCTCTCTCCTCTCTCTCTCTCGTCTCTCTCTCTCTCTCTCCTCTCTTCTCCCCTCTCTCTCTCTCTTCTCTCTCTGTCTTCTCTCCCTTCTCTCTCTCTGTCTCTCTCCCTCTCTCTCTCTGTCTCTCTCCCTCTCTCTCTTGTCTCTCTCCCTCTCTCTCTCTGTCTCTCTCCCTCTCTCTCTCTGTCTCTTCCCTCTCTCTCTGGTCTCTCTCCCTCTCTCTCTGCTCTCTGCTCTCTCTCTCTCTCTCTCTCTCTCTCTTCTCTCTCTCTCTCTCTCTCTCTCTCTCTCTCTCTCTCTCTCTCTCTCTCTCTCTCTCTCTTCTCTCTCTCTCTCTCTCTCTCTCTCTCCTCTCTCTCTCCTCTCTCTCTCTCTCTCTCTCTCTCTCTCTCTCTCTCTCTCTCTCTCTCTCTCTCTCTCTCTCTCTCTCTCTCTCTCTCTCTCTCTCTCTCTCTTCTCCTCTCTCTCTCTCTTCTCTCTCTCTTCTCCCTCCCTCTCTCCCCCCTCCCTCTCTCCCCTCCCTCCCTCCCTCCCTCCCTCCCCCTTCCCTCCCTCCCTCCTCCCCCTCCCTCCCCCCTCTCCCCCTCTCCCCCCTCTCCCCCTTTTCCCTTTCCATCTCCCCTCCCCCTCTCTTCCTCCCTTCCTTCCTTCCTCTCTCTGACTCCCACCCTTTTTCTTTCTTTCACACCTCTATGCAATACTCTTTAATCATACTACTTACACTACACCAAAATATACCACACATTCAATCATTATACAATATTGTAAAATTGTGTGTTATTCTTATTATGTTGTAGAACAGTGTTGATTATACCCTTCAGGTCTGATACTCATTTATTTGTGCCATCCATATTATTGTTCCATATAAACATTTATTAGTAGTATACCTTATTAATTGGAATTTAGGCTATATAGCATACATTATATGATAATATATTGTTTGACCTTCATCAAAGTCTTAACAAGACCTTATTTTGTTGGTGTTTGAAAATTTCAATAATTATGTAAAATCTAAAATATACAATATTAGAAAAAAAACTCAATCTTGTTATCTCACCATGTATTTCTTGCCTGGGAGACCTAAGACATAATGCTAATTATTGACTTTTGAATTGAAAGTCTGCTGAAATCCATGAGCTGTTTCATATTTACAGCCCACAGAACAGAAATACAGTGCAAAGCTTGTTGACAAAAAATAAAAAATAAAAAGGAACTTGAATGCTTTGTATAAGCATTGGTTTGTATGAAGTTGTCTAATTACAAAACACGATTTAGTAAATGCTGCCATTTTGTTTCAACCATTATGATTTTTTGTTTATACTATTTACTAAGATGACTGATTGAGATAATTTGCAATCAGTATGTTTGTCCTACACAGTTAGATTTATTAAGATTTTATCCTATTTAACTTGTAGGTGCTCAATTTTCAAATATATTTTTTTCCAGTTTTGTTAATTTATTGCTGCCTTTTACTAGATTGGTAACTAATTATATATATTGATAGTATCCATAACAATATGATTATATGTGGAACCTAAGTAAAGTTATTTTGAAGTTGTTAGCTTGTTGTAAATTGAGTTTTATGTGGTAGCAGATGGTAATTGATTTGAAAATTGTATTTGGCTTTATCATAATTTGATAAGGATTGGCAAAGGTTGGATTGGTGTCTTGAGATTCAATTTTAATTTACCATTCTTGCATTTTTCCACCAAACATACTTTTTATGAAAATTAGGATAGCTGCATTGTAATAAAAAGTTACTTGATTGGAGTCATGTCATTATTACTGTATTTGAGTAACTTGTAGTAATAATATTGTACACACCATTGAATATAAACTGTGATTTGTAAATATAAAAGATATTAGAAATGAACCTGCAGTAGAAACAACACATGACATGAAATCATCAGGAATCCAAACTTGACTATGACAATTTCCCTTTCTTCTGTTGCATTGTAATAGTTTACTTATATGCTAGACTGAAAGATGCAGTGGTAAGAGTCATAGTTAAGTTATTTTTCTTTTTCATTTAGTGTATGTAAAAATGTTACTGGTACCATAGTGATCAGCTACAACTACAATAATAATATTGTTATGTCTTTGATTTCATAACCCAGTATCTTATTTTATATGTTCAAAAATGTTATATTTTAGTTTCTTTATTCTTCTAAGTAATGCTCAGAATGAAGTTTGAAAGATAAAAGCATTTATGTTTATTTGTTTTTAAATGAAGCAGTAAGTGAAAGAGATGCAAGATCAAAACTAAGTATTTATTGTATTCTGTATATAGCTTTGATGCAGTGATGAGTGCAATACTTCTAGTTTTGTTGTTAATCAGTTCCTTATGTTTATAGCATAAAGGCTCATTTATGTAGCAAATAGGCTTATTTATTTGTCAGGTTTCCCAAAGAACATTATAAAAAGCATCATACACACATGTATGGAGACTATGATAAAACATTCAGTTTTATTTGCAGTG